AAAAAAAAGGCTTTTCAGCTACCGCAAAGATAACAATGAGATAGATAAATTCTGGAGGAAAATGTGTGTAGAACAGAAGAGATGCATCAAGAGAAGAATCGGAGAATGAAGATCGTGCAGCATATGATAGCGCAAATCCACTTATTGCATTCATTTGGCATAGTGTTTGCGCTGACTGACTGGACATTTAAGAGCAAGTTAGAACCACAGCATTCACCAGCACAGGGACATCTGCAGCACCACTCACCCGCGAGCGGTTGGTTAAGAATGGGACACATTTGTCAGCTGTTTAGCACTGTCACTTTACCAGTACAATTGTCTTGCCTGCTAACAAGCGCGCGCATGTTAGAGCTACCTAGACATTCCTTACTTCCTCGAGTTTATGCACAACAGGAGTACCAGAAACTTCAAGAAATATATGATTTTTCTTATATTTGTGGAATGATTACGTACGCGGTTCAATGTTATAGGAGACAAATGAGACGTGTAACAAATACCATAGAGGTAGTTATACACTAGAAAAACGCATACTTTGAGAACCTCTCTTTGTATGTTTATAAAGGAAAAGAAAACATGACTAAAAATTCACTAGTTTATGCTATAGCGGATACCTGTATCGTCTTCGATCGAGGGCGGATCGACAGATGAAAGCACTGCACACACAATCGTTTCACCAGAAGTGCGCAGCTTCAAAGAGGCGCAGTCGTCCCTGTTTAAGCCCATTCAGATCCACACTAAATTGTGACGTTAGACATTACACAGAAAAACACATATGGTGTGTGCCGTAGGTACATCGATGACACTTATATACAAGATTTTTGAACTAATAAAACATCTGACATATTCATTTTTCATTCAAACAATAACTAAAAAGTTGATATATACAACCCTTGAGATGAAAATCTCGATTATGGTAAGAAACTTCGTAGAGTAGGCTTCCCTTCCAATACGGAGCCCAATGTAGGAGCAAAATAACGCAGAGTAATTTCTGATGTAGACATGGCAGTTTGCGTGTAGGAGTCGGCTAAACTGATGCGATCCGATCCTATGCGAAATCCACGAGCTGTCCACTTCACTACCGTCCAATGATCGCCTTTGCCGCGTTTGACAGCAGTGAACAAAATGTTATCACCTCGAAAAAAACGTGGATGATTGCAATAGATATCAAGTTTGCAGCTAGGAAATCCAAAGAGGTCCAAAGATGAAACATACCGACGTTAAGAAGATCTGTGAGCCACTCCGCGTCTCTTCCGCCGTCACCTCCTATCCACGTGAGCAACGAACACCTACAAGTAAGGTAAAAACATGATTTTTTGTTACCCTCTGGGGATAACGTCAAGAATAATTGACATTCAGATAAGATAAATAGAATAGCATGTACTTGATTTCACCACAGACTGATGACCAGGCCAAAGCGCAAGTGTCGGTGAGAGAAATGATCTTTCCACAGCCTAGAGATGGATCTAATACAGAACGATAAAAGTCAGTCGGGTACATTTTCAGACATCTACCCTCGAGTGCCCATCGACAATACAGCAGATTGGCTGATGGGCTGATAATGATAATTAATCAAAAAGATTGCTCTACTGCCAACAAACCGTTCACGTAAAGGAACTACTCGGAAACATTCCTGCGGAAGTTCACGGTTTGCATCAGTAATAATTTTTCGCAAACAAAACTAAAAGGTCCTTATGGAAAAAGAATAAAGATTTTGATTTAAATTCAGCAGCTGCACGCAGGCGCTCACAACCCAAAAAAAGAGTGATGTTAGCTCAAAGCCCATCACTTCCAAAAATAGACTTCATCAAGAAATTCGAGTTGTGAACTGCGGTCAATAAACAATCAGAAATGTGAAAAAACACAAATCTGAAGGGCAAAAAATTCCTGCCAAAGACGAAACTGCGAGATCTGTGTAGGTATAAAATGACCACATTTTGAAGATGTAGGACAAAAGTGACATTCGTACCTGTCGTTTGCGGCTCCCGTAATTTCTTCAGCTTCGTCGCATTAGTTGCAATGAATTTACAACCATTAACATCGCTCTGCGCACGCATTGACACTAATAGCTCATCACCTAGAACTAGGTTTAGTAAAGGACCTACAAAGAGATATGTAAGATGTATACCCCACAAGGATCGGCCGATTCAGATCGTCGATCCTTATAACGTGGGTATCTCCATACTTCATAAGGGTCTGCCGATCCTTATAACACTTACAAGCGCAATAAGAGACGGCCGATCTAGGGTGGGCGGCAGTGACCTTGCGGTCCCCCTGGTGCCGATTTGGCGTGACTCTGTTCTTCTCAGCATTTCCGCGCTTTAAAACTCGGACTTCGTCTTGCTTTCGTTAGGTTGTATTAAAGCTTCCAGAAATCGGCAGCAAGTGTGCTGGAAAGATGCCGACTGCCGGATGGTATTTGACTGGGACGCCGCAACGCAACTGCGCGCACCCTCGATCGGCCGATCCTTACGAAGTACGGAGATACCTTATAAGCACAATAAGAATTGGCCAATCGAAGGTGCGGCACGGTTGCGTTGCGACAAGGACCGATATCAGCCAAAATTCAGTCCAGCTTCTAACTGCGCCGCCTTCTTCTTCAGAGCTTGGCTTAATTCCTTCTGCAAGCAGTTAGGGTATCTCCATACTTAATAAGGATCGGCCGACTCTTATAACGCTTATAAGCGCAATAAGAATCGGTCGATCGAGGGTGCGCGGCGGTTGCATTGCGACTCCCTGCTGATACCGATGTGGCGCGATTCGCCTCTATCCCAGCCTTTCCGCACTTTTTTTTCTGATCTGACTCGCTTTCTTTCTTAGTTCTAGGAAGTCGTCAGCGAGTGCGCCGGAAAGATGAGGACGGAACCCCACGCAATATGGTATTTGACTGCGGCGCAGCAACGCAACCGCCGCGCACCCTCGATCGGCCAATTCTTATTGCGCTTA